ATGAATGGCAGACGGAGATGAGCAGGTTCTGATCGCCGACTTTTCGCAGCCATTCGTAATCCGGCCAACGATATGTCCGGTGACGACATACAGTGAGGTCCAGGCAACTAAGTTTTGCAGACACTTCGGCACGGCTTTCAACGCTTCCCTTCTCTCAACCTTATTCTCTTATGTGAGTGTAAAAAATGCTGCGGAAAATAGTTCTTATTCACTTCTACCCTCGATCGTTTCGGAATGAACATTTTCAAATATTCATGTCGTTCCGGTTGTTCGTAGACATTCTTTTCTTCCTTTGGATTCCCAGTGTTTGGCCACATAATGTGCGTTTGATTCATCATACGCATCCGGAGCAATAATTATGTTTCAATGCAAATGTCATCATTTTATTTTCACTCCGACTTTTGCGGCTTAATAGGATTAAACAAGTTATTTACTTCATAAATTACTGATGTTCACTTAATCTTCAGACTGCCACCTCGTAGCCACCTGTGTTCCATATTATTTGCTCCTCTGGAATAGATTTAAAATTATATTTTTCAAATTTGGTTCAACATGTGAAACAATTATAGACGGAAGGTAATTCACTTCAGCATATACTATTGTGTACTATTTACTTATTTGTCATTAAATTCGCCTATGCATCTATCCCAATTTCTTTATGAAGTACCGGGTAATTGAAACAGTTTCAACTAACATATATTGTTCATATTTTTAAGTGTCTTCATTTGAGAGATTATGTTTAATAGTTGTATATTTTTAGGGGGATATTGATTACTATACCTTACAGCCTAGTGTACCTATGGAAACTGCGAACAGGAATTTTCGAAGTTGTTGTCAAGCAATGGCATTGAACAACGCATGTCTCTCAGTCTGCAATTACAATTCAACTTTGCCTCAGGTGAGAGTTTCCAGATATTTCTTGAGCAAATAATGTTTGTTTTCAAAAACCAGTTATTATGCGTTGCCTTGTCAATTTCATTTCAGTTCAGAAAGGCGAGAGGTGCGGGCTGTAAAAGAAGCGAAGAGAGAAAATATTTGATCTGTGCGTCGGCTGGTCAGGACGTGACGAAATGCTGTCGAGCATATGGTACTTTCTATGCGCAGACGTACTGCAAAATGCTCTGTCGACCAAGCGACAAACGTTGGGTGGCCGACTATGAAGAGATCATAGTCTATTGGCCGTGCATCAGGTTCATAGAAGGCATTCTGCACTGCATGCACATACTTTTACCGGCCGAATGACGTTGCTTTGTAAAATGTTTCCCACCGACCAAAACAGTTAATTGGTAAATCATATGTACTGGTGATATTTCGATATTCAAATGCTGCAGCACGTAAGCCAAGGTGTTTCTTAATATCCCTGTTAATCTCCGTATTCGTCTGCCAGTCGGACCTTCAGTGCTTCCTTTTAGACGCAGGTGGCCTCATTAGATGTAGAGTTCAAGAAGGCAAGTTGATTGAGGATGAACCATTTACTCCAGCTCATGAATTTAACGGTTGGAGTCGAACCACGACTGACATGAGACCAGCGTGCAACAAGGAGGAAGAAGATTGCAAAAATCCTGCTATCAAAGAGCAATATTCCCTCATACGATGCTGCCATCGGTGCATCGTACAAAAGGTGCTGCAACGTTGCGAATACAGCGGAAACCAGAAACCAAGGCACGTCTGCTTACGCAAATAGTTCAAGGCGATGACCTCGACAAACAACAACTTTATGTCAATGACCATTCGTCAGTGCTTCAGTACATACGTACGTCGGTTCATATGGCCCGTACGTCGCTGCGTTTGATGGCGCCTGAAACTTTCCATGAGTTCCTCCGCCGTTCGTGCCTCGTTTAGTCAGACCATAGATGGATCCGTTCCTGCAATACTATGACCGTTAATACCTACTGTAGTTCCTGCTTCTATTCGTTTCTACCTGAGGTACAGGTTCATTAACGAACAACGATGGAGACAGGCCAAAGATACAAAGAGAGAGGTAGACTCAGACGGTCACATAGACGGATAGACGAACAGCTCCGGCGATTGTCACACAAACAGAACAGTGTGTAGCGATGGGAAGCTTCGAATCATGAGGTTCCTATGCCATTATCCAGTGTACGCGGTAGACGGTAGACGTGCAGAAATCTACAGTCAAGACAATTAAGCTCATCATCATAATCTCATATACCATGACAGAGGATTTTGCTTTTGCTTAATCTTTTGTTGACAACTTAAGACAATGCTTGATGAGTCGTTAAAACATATAATATTGATAATGCGCGAGGTTCCATTGGGTACTTACGTTGAGATATTTTTTATGTTTCTCCAATCAATTCCAGTATTACAGAACGATCCTTTAACTTTCAAAATTATGAAGTCATACGTATTTACGACTTCACTAGATTGATCACCGATAGGGCATCGACGCATTTCATTTCTTTTATTTTCCGTCAACGTATCGCTGATTGCTAAGGACGTTCCAACCGCCGGTAATCCTTAGCTGCTTTCATGGCGGTTTTCATAAACGAAAGTAGCTAAATATGCATAACTCCACAAGTTTTAAAAAATTTATTACACCGAAAAAACCTATGCCACTATTTAAGCATGCAGTTGCTTTGTGGTATTTGGTAGTATTATCTGAACTAATTAATGCAAGGAATCGAGTGATGTTGTTCATACAGAGTTAATTGATTGACTGCAATGGTACAGTCTGGTCAGTGATGACTGCAGTGCAAACTGAGCCTTAACTTCCCGGTCGTGAATCTGAATTTCGAACACTTATGTTTTTCATAACTGGGGATGTCTCATTATGAAAAATAATACAAAACGTGACACTCGTCTGTGATTCCATCACGAAAGGGTTCATTTCAGGAGGCACACGAAGACACACACTTCCTTGTCACTATACATTGTACGTAAATATGGTTCCTTTTGCAAGAGGACTACTGAGTCTTCAGGAGTAGAAGATTTTTCCCGGCCGTACGCCAGTTGCCCAAGTACTTGTTAAGCACAAGAGGTTCGATACTGCTCATCCCCGTCGGAGACTCACGGCTGCAATAACTGTGACCGTTTCTTCAAGGTGGTATGCGACGCTAGTGTGGCAAAGTGCGAGAGCAACTGGCGTACTTTAAGTTGCTATCAGTTCAACTCTTTTTCTAGTCAAAGGTTGCTTTACACTGTAAACATTGGGGCCACCAACAAAAACTAATATCATTAAAAATGAAAAATTAATTTCCAGAGAGTGACAATGCTACAAGTACAGGAAGAAGTTGAAAACGGTTTATTATCTGTATATCTTTAGCGCTTAAAAAACACGAATTTGCTGGTCATTCTTCTTAAAAACTGGACATCACGTTGAATTCGAATTATATTTTAGCTTCTAGGGATTCAGTCCTCTATCCTCTATGCCCTTGGTTGAATGATTCACTCTCTGATATCAAACAAATTAAGCACACAACATTCACTGGCGCATTCAGAGGCGGGTAAGAAAGCATACAATATGCTTTGATTTGAAATTTACCTTTCTGCAACGGCTTCCAAATTCATAAAGTGACTTCGTAAACAACGTGATCTGACTGAAAAAGGCTCATCCTCGTGTAGGGAGTTCAACCGTTGCTGCGTTTCCAGCATCTTGTTCAAAAGAGGCAAATTCAAAAAAGCGCAGCATTTCCATCAGGCGCCCGCCGATCTCCGACACGGGCCGATCTGTTGGCTCGAACGAGTCTATGGAATTTGGCGTGAACGCGAATTTAGCTCTGTTGCTTGGACGATGATCATCGCCAGTTGTATACTCTTCTAGCGATTATCATGTTCCTTATTGACCAGGAATGCATCCTTCTCGTTAGATGAGCGAATAGAATGGGACCTTTGGTAATGCTAACAGTCATCGCAGAGATGCTGCAACAAGCTAAGCAGGAAAGCACGCTGCTTATAGTCTAATAAACATATAACAAAGAGCAACATGCTGATGAGAAGGCACGTGAATGAACAAAAGCCTGCATCGAACAAAGTGAAAATGAAAAATGGTTTATAAGCTAAACTCAGGGTCATATATGTTTGGCAGTTGCAAAACTGCATGTGCGAACAAAAGTTCATTTTTCATGCCGTCAGTTGGAA